CAACAGAGTGAGAAGAAGGATATTTAATGGGGACCAGCATCCTTTAAATAGAAGACGCACGAATCTGAGTAAGGTGAGTGAAGAGGTTCTGCCGACGCATTCCCGTTCGTCTTTAGCATTCGGTCAGTCCTCCATTCGCTTTACTTACAAAAAGAAAACAAATGCTCCGTCTTTCTCTGTTAGTAGCTTGTGACACTGTATGCCTTTATACTGTATGACAATCGTGCTCGAAATGTTTAGTGAGAAGCTAAAAAAGTTGCATTTTTTCGTATTTTTTTTAACAAAAGTCCTTTCCTTCTAAGTTGATATCTTGGAGATTGAAAAGATGCTTTGGTAAAAATTATCCGGTCTTTGGAAAGGAGAGGCCTATGTTTACTCATCTACTCATAATTTCTGACGCGTAACGTTTCCATAAATCGAATGTTATTCCTTTTCTCTTGGTGATTTTTGACAGATTGTCAGTCACCTTCAGGATCTATGTCTGCGCTACAAATACCACTGTTGTTGGTCATCTCATGGCTGGCCCTCCACGCCTTCGCCCAGGAAGAATATATACCGGTAAAGTATAAGTGAAGACTTGTTTCAACTATGTCACACATACATGTATCTGTCTCTGTTTGTATCTATAACTCTGTATGTCTACGTATATGTATATGTATATTTATATGTATACAGTATATAGTATATATATGTACATATATGTATATGTATATATATAGGTATATGCATAAGTATATATACATACATAAGTATATGTATATATGTATACACATACGCTCATATATATATATATATATATATATATATATATATATATATATATATATATATATATATATATATATATTTGTGTGTGTTTGTGTGTTAAAAGTCTTTTATCTCTTCTTGAGAAATAAAAGACAAGCCATCCATGACGCTTGCCTCATGGGTCCTTCCACACAGGATTACTGCCTCCCTCCCCCGGGCGCCACGGCCAGCGAGGACTCGGTTAATGCCACTCAGGTAGCTGAGCTGGATAACATAGATATAGATAGGCGATGCTGCAAGACCAAGTAGGAGTGTGCCAGGCTGCTGGGGGCGTTTGCATCCCCTCCTACGCCAACGCCTTCTGCCGCATGACCGTCGACTGCCTCTGTCAGCTGCCCTTACTGTCTCCCTCTCCACTGACATCCACTCCCGCAGGCTGATGGAGTTTTCTTCCCCTAACGAAGTACCCAAAATTCATCTTCAAGTGCGGTGGCCCTCCTATGGACAGTCTGCCTATGTCGGTCATTCGTCTCCCATGCCGCTCTGCACTTTGACCCGACTTTTTGGCTTTTTATCTTATCGTGGATGTTTCTTAAATACCCTGTATCACTACACGCTCCTCCTTCCTTACCTTCTTACATAATTTCTTCTTATCTATCATCTCTGACTCAAACAAAGAGTCTAATTGGCTTTTCGAAATAATCTTGTTTTTTTTTAGTCTATATCTAAAACCATGCAAAACTTATATACACAAACATATACATATTTACATACATAAGCATAATGGAAGATGGTGTACACACACAGAACAGATTCTCACATAACACACAATACTCCATATGCACATCCTGCCACGTGTCATGGCAGAGAAAACGATTATAAAACTCATTAAATAATATGTCATAACCATTGTGAAGAACGGGGAGAAAAAAATTACCCCATTTACCGTGATTTATCGTCGCCTATTCATGCAAAACGAACGGAAAGCAAAAGTGTTATTACAATGCATTTTTTTCCCCCAGGACCGGATGCTTTCGTCTATGCGTCTTTTTGTGTTCCTTGTTTTGTGTGGTAAAGAATCGGTTAGCTATCAACTCGGGAATTTAGTAAATGGAAGAGACCCTTGTTTTGTGTGATAAAAAATCGGTTAGCTATCAACTGGGGAATTCAGTAAATGAGACCCTTTCTACTGATTAATATGATAAATTGCTTTTGACATCGTGGTTTAAAAATGAGATAATGCAGAGAAAGGACGTTTATAATATATCTTCCTACTTTCGTTCTTATTACGCGTTTTCGTCTTAATCAATTTCTCTCTTCTTTCGCCGCCCCCTCCCCTCCCCCCTTTCTCTCTCTCTCTGTCTCTGTCTCTCTCTCTCTCTCCAATTTCCTTTATCATATCTGCCCGCCTCCCCTTCATCCCACCACACACACACACACATACGAACACACACACACACACACATATATATGTATAAACATATATATGCATATATATGTGTATATATATGTACAAACACAAACACACACACACACACAAACACACACACAAAACACACACACTCGCATACGTGTAAATGTATGTACATATATATTAGAGCCATCTAAAAAAAAGAAGAAGAAAAAAAAAGAAAAACAAAGAATGAATGAAAAAAAATCTACTCATACAGAAATCAAATGGCTAATCATTTTTAATTCCCATCGGCGATAATAGGATGTAACGAAGTGTATACGGAAGGGAAACAGATTTAAGGGCTCACTCGGGACGCGACCTCCACAGTGGAGCCACAGCACTCCAGGTGAGTGGCCTGCCGCGGGCACTCGCTTGCTCTCGTTGTCGGAAAATATATATATATATACACACACACACACACACACATATATATATAAATGTATAGATATATATGCATATACACATACACACACACACACACACATACACATACACACACACACACACACACACACACCACATATATATATATATATATATATATATATATATATATATATATATACATATATACATATATATATATATATATATATATATATATATATATATATATATATATATATATGTGTGTGTGTGTGTATACATATATATATGAATATCAATATATACATACATGAATATACATCTATATGTATATATAAACACACACACATATATGATAATAATAATGTATATATATATACATATATGTATATATATATATATATATATATATATATATATATATATATATATATATATATATATATACGTATATGTATATATATACATATATGTATATATATGTATATATGCATATACATATATGTATACACACAAACACACAAACACACACACACACGCACACATATATATATATATATATATACCTTGGTGAATTTGTTTCCGTTGGATTTTATATGAACTGCATAACGTCACGAGTTATCCTCCAGCGAAAAATAAGGATGACGTTAGCTAATAGTAACGTGTGTTGTTACCGTTGGGACGTTTTTTTCTGTCTATTAACATCCTTGATTACTCTCGGGTTCATTATTTTATTGCTATGAATTTTAAGGTACATCATTAAATCCCTCCCTCTTTAAAAACACGAGGCTATTAAGATCTATTATTATAGGGATATATAACTTTATAAAATATGGAATTCGTTAATAGACAGTACATAGTGGACGCCTTTTCATCATATTTGCAGATTATATAATCGAGTTTTAACCCAATAGTGCCGGGGAAAATGAACAAAAAATGGAGAAAATACTGTGCCCACTTTCTATGTTTTTCGTGAAATGTCAGGCTCTGCTAGCGCCTGATTTGAAATGGCGGGAAAAACGTATTTTCCACTAGTGCTATGAAAATCGATGGTGTTATTTTTATCATAAACATTATAATTTTTATAATGTTTTTTAACATTAGTAACAGCAAAATAAGATTACTAAAATATTTCGTAAATCCAAGAAACGGGTAAACGGGCGAGACGGGCGGTACTCGTAGTTGGCTCATTGGTGATTTAGTACAAGTGTTGCCATCTATGCGTAAAGACAATCAAACAAGTACTCACGGTGGGCATAGTACATACGTACACGTCACACTTGGCACCAATGGGTTAATAATCCATTATTTTATTTACTTCACAGCTCATGATCTGTTTCCCGTTTATTACATTTTATTTGTTGGATAGATTGGCTTCGTTGTAGACTCTTGACATAAGTGAAATAAGATTGTTCATATCAATCAGGTAAGTTCTCTCGGAAACAGATAAGACAGAAGTTAAACTGATCTGGTAGAGTCTGACACATGTTCCTTTAGCTGCCCCTTTGCGTTTTATCTACTTTCAAATTTCTAATGTACTCAACATTTTTCATACTTCTCTATTCTCACTGATTTGATTTAATTCACCAGATTTAATTTGATTTATCTAATTCATTAATCTATTAATTTCACAGAAAACACCAGTTCCTTGCTCTTCGTCCCATCATGTGGCCCAACGTCCAGCAGAAGCCAGCAGTGGGAGTCCTCCTGCTCTGGATTCTCTCGTGCCTCGCTCAGAGCTCCGGCCAAGAGGTGAGGAAGGCAAATTAGGCGACTGCTTTTATTCATGATATTGAAAAAATAATGCAAACTGAGGAAAGTCATCACGTTGGAATGATAAGATTACGTAATGGGTATAGTGATGACTAATGCGTAATGATACAGGTTAGACGTAGATACCTTTCCCATAATTCAGTGTCAGATAGTAAATAAAAGGTGCTGTACGGTACAACAAGGGTATGACGATAAATCCTAGAGGGAAATAACGATCCCGCTAAAGCCACCCTCACAACACTTCCACAGTTTTGCAAACAGTTCGCCCTCAACCAGTCGCTCTCGTTCTCGGATTTGCAAGCGATACAGGAAAAACTTTCTGCTTGTTGCTGGACGGCCCCCAACAGCTGCCAAGTGGCCGGCGGATTCTGCATTCCGGCCTGGCTCGGACGCTCCTGCCCTCAGACCAACGATGCTCTCTGCGGCGGGTGCGGGTGCACATGCTGCTTGGACAAGACAAGTTAGTACTTTCACACACACACACACACACTCTGGTTTCGCGCAGTGCAACTTAGAAAACTTATCCATTATCGCCGCCGCTATACGGAAAACTTATTTCATTTCTCCATGCCAGTGGTTCCCAATCCAGATGCCTATATGTTTATGTCACCTCTCTTAATTCTAACTTATGTTTGTCACCTGGTAGTATTACATGTTTCTTTATGTTTATTTTGTTTAGAAGAGCATTAATTCGTTGAGCAGACGAAGATGCAGTCTACTGGAAAGGTGACTTCTATTTGGGTTATTAAGGGGAGAGGTTAAATAAAATAAAGTTGATGTAAGGATTATGTGCGTTTTAGATGGCAAAGAAAGGAGAGAAAGAAAGAGAGCAAAATAGGGGGTTGAGGATACCACTGATCTAAGTGAGTTTGGGTCATCAAAAAAAGAGAAAAAAAAAGAGAATGAAGAATGAAAAAATAATTTGCGATCCACTGATTTACGAGAATACCTTACCATCAGAATAACTCAAACACACTTCGTTCCTCCCCTTACGACAATAGCTAACATGGGACGAAGAATTCCCCCAAACTTGACTCGTATTGTAGAAACTTTGCTCTAACACAAGACTCTCCACAGCGCCTGCTCCTTGTACTGGGACTTGTGGGACATCAACAAGGAAAGGAAATTGTCGTTCTTCCTGCAATGCGCTTGAGGAGAGCATCCCAGGGGAGTGCTTGAGTCGCAACTGCAAGTGCTGTGCGGAGAAGAGTAAGTAAAGTGGAGTGTGCAGTGGGTGCATGTTTGTTTTGAGGTGACTTGCTGCTCAATTTTTTTCTCTCTCTCTTTCTATCTGTCTGCCTTTGTCTCTGGCTCTCTCTTTCTCTACTTGTATATCTGTCTTCCTGTCTCTGTCTTTGTCTCTCGCTCTCTCTGTCTCTGACATATCCCATATATCTCCGTATTGTCTCTTGTTAATGTTCTGGAATTTGCGTATATGATTACTTCAATTTTTTTTCACTGGACTTTCCATATTGTGTGGCCGTTGTTTTCCCCTTTAAGTTTACCTGTAGTGGCATTCTTATTTTTCCATGCCATTCTTTTTTGTTTTTCTTTCATTCGTCTTTGCCCGAGATGCTTGTAGATTCCCTCTTGTTCTTATTCTTCGAGTTTGGTATTGTTATTTGTTTCGAGGTTGCCCAAAATATTTCTTGACTTGATTTCTCACTATTGTTATTATTATCACTTGTAATTCACCTTATAATTATTACTCTACTACTACTATTACTACTGTTTCTGCTACTACTACTTCTACTACTATTTTTATTACTACTACTACCTTACTACTACTACAACTGCTGCTTCGACTACTACTGCTACTACTACTACTTCTACTACTACTTCTGCTACTACTACTTCTACTACTACTACTTCTGCTACTACTACTACTACTTCTACTACTACTTCTACTACTACTACTACTACTACATGACTACTACTACTACTACATGACTACTACTACTACTACATGACTACTACTACTACTACAGCAACTGTTGCTACTACTCCACTACTGTTACAGGTGATGCTGTTCCTACTACTGCTAATACATTACTACTACTGCTACTACTACTACTGCTACTATTCCTTCTACTACTATTACTACTGTTTCAGCTGCTGCTCGAAAAAAAGAATCCACTCCAGCTCTCATGCTGAATAACTAATTGTGATAACCTACGAACGTTAACTTAGAGTAGTTGAATATCTCTACTTTATCACGTAATGAACGCAATAGAGAATAATACCCAGAAAACAGAATATATGAATCTTATACGCAAAAAAGTCGATGTATGGATTACGTTTTAGATGGCAAAGAAAAGAGAGAAAGAAAGAGAGAAAATAGGAGGTTGGGATACCACTGATCTAAGGGAGTTTGTGTCGTCAAAAAAGAAAAAAAAAGATAATGAAGAAGAGACAGAAAACTACTTCAGGTCTCCATGAGCTTGAAGTGTTATAAATTAGAAAAGAAATACTTTGCGAACCACTGATTTACGAGAATATCTTACGAGCAGAATAACTCAAACACTCTTCGTTCCTCCCCTTACAACGATAGCTAAAATGTAACGAAGGATCCCCCCAAACTTGACTCGTATTGTAGAAACTTTGCTCTAACACAAGACTCTCCACAGCGACTGCTCCTTGTACTGGGACTTGTGGGACATCAACAAGGAGAGGATATTGCCGTTCTTCCTGCAGTGTGTTTGAGGAGAGCATCCCAGGGGTGTGCTTGGGTGGCAACTGCAAGTGCTGTGCGAGGAATTGTAAGTACAGTGGAGGTGATGAGTTGTTGATGAATTCTGGATGTTAGTGTGCAGTGGGTGCATGTTTTATGTCTCTCTGTTTCTTTCTTTCTCTGTCTGTCTGCCTTTGTCAATGTCTCTCTCTTTCTCTACTTATATATATGTCTTTCTGTCTGTCTCTGTCTCTCGCTCTCTTTGTCTCTGACTCTGTCTCTGTCTGTCTGCCAGTCTGTCTTTCTCTTTCTGTCTCTGTCTCTGTTTCTTGTTGTTTCTGATTACTTCAGCTCTTTTCACTGGACTTTCCATACTGTGTGGTCGTTGTTATCCCCCTTTAAGTTTACCTGTAGTGGCATTCTTAATTTTCCTTGCCATTCTTTGTTTTTTTTCTTTCATTCGTTTTTGCCCGAGATGCTTATAGATTCCCTCTTGTTCTTCTTCGGTTTAGGCATTGTTATCTGTTTCGAGGTCGCCCCAAAAATTTCTTGTCTTGATTTCTCACTTCTGTATTAATCTACTACTACTATTATTAGTGTTTATGCTCGTACTACTTCTACTACTATTTTTACTGCTACTACTACTATCTTACTACTACGACTACAACTGCTGCTTTGATTACTACTACTACAACTAATTCTACTACTACTACTTCTATTTCTACTACTACTACTACTACTACTCCACTGCTGCCTCCGAATTTTTCGCCTTTAAATCTTATTCTTTAAATTTGCCTCCAAATTTTTCGCCTTTAAATCTTATTCTTTAAATTTGCCTCCAAATTTTTCGCCTTTAAATCTTATTCTTTAAATTTGCCTCCAAATTTTTCGCCTTTAAATCTTATTCTTTAAATTTGCCTCCAAATTTTTCGCCTTTAAATCTTATTCTTTAAATTTGCCTCCAAATTTTTCGCCTTTAAATCTTATTCTTTAAATTTGCCTCCAAATTTTTCGCCTTTAAATCTTATTCTTTAAATTTGCCTCCAAATTTTTCGCCTTTAAATCTTATTCTTTAAATTTGCCTCCAAATTTTTCGCCTTTAAATCTTATTCTTTAAATTTGCCTCCAAATTTTTCGCCTTTAAATCTTATTCTTTAAATTTGCCTCCAAATTTTTCGCCTTTAAATCTTATTCTTTAAATTTGCCTCCAAATTTTTCGCCTTTAAATCTTATTCTTTAAATTTGCCTCCAAATTTTTCGCCTTTAAATCTTATTCTTTAAATTTGCCTCCAAATTTTTCGCCTTTAAATCTTATTCTTTAAATTTGCCTCCAAATTTTTCGCCTTTAAATCTTATTCTTTAAATTTGCCTCCAAATTTTTCGCCTTTAAATCTTATTCTTTAAATTTGCCTCCAAATTTTTCGCCTTTAAATCTTATTCTTTAAATTTGCCTCCGAATTTTTCGCCTTTAAATCTTATTCTTTAAATTTGCCTCCAAATTTTTCGCCTTTAAATCTTATTCTTTAAATTTGCCTCCAAATTTTTCGCCTTTAAATCTTATTCTTTAAATTTGCCTCCAAATTTTTCGCCTTTAAATCTTATTCTTTAAATTTGCCTCCAAATTTTTCGCCTTTAAATCTTATTCTTTAAATTTGCCTCCAAATTTTTCGCCTTTAAATCTTATTCTTTAAATTTGCCTCCAAATTTTTCGCCTTTAAATCTTATTCTTTAAATTTGCCTCCAAATTTTTCGCCTTTAAATCTTATTCTTTAAATTTGCCTCCAAATTTTTCGCCTTTAAATCTTATTCTTTAAATTTGCCTCCAAATTTTTCGCCTTTAAATCTTATTCTTTAAATTTGCCTCCAAATTTTTCGCCTTTAAATCTTATTCTTTAAATTTGCCTCCAAATTTTTCGCCTTTAAATCTTATTCTTTAAATTTGCCTCCAAATTTTTCGCCTTTAAATCTTATTCTTTAAATTTGCCTCCAAATTTTTCGCCTTTAAATCTTATTCTTTAAATTTGCCTCCAAATTTTTCGCCTTTAAATCTTATTCTTTAAATTTGTCTTCCAGTTCTTATTCTTTCAATTCTGTTATTGCCACAACAGAATCCATGTATAAATTTTGATATACACTTACTTACTAATCTGGATCTCTTATTATCGTCATTTTCTGATACGCAGCAACGCATGTAGATTCAAATAAATATCTTATACTTTCCATAATTGTCAAAATATAAGCAATTAGACGATAAGATGCATTTGCTGAGTTAATTTATAAGCTTCGCTTTGCTACACACTAGACAGGCACATAAATATTCGATATTCATCAACACATCAACACCATTATCAACATCATCCTCATTATCATTATTATCACCGTCACCACCACCATCACCATCATTATCATCATCATCACCGTCATTATTATCATCATCACCGTCACCACCATGACCACCATCATCATCATTAACATCATCATCACCGTCATTATTATTATTATCACCGTCACCACCATGACCACCATCATCATCATTAACATCATCATCACCGTCATTATTATTATTATCACCGTCACCACCATGACCACCATCATCATCATTAACATCATCATCACCGTCATTATTATCATCATCACCGTCACCACCATGACCACCATCATCATCATTAACATCATCATCACCGTCATTATTATTATTATCACCGTCACCACCATGACCACCATCATCATCATTAACATCATCATCACCGTCATTATTATTATTATCACCGTCACCACCATGACCACCATCATCAGCATTATCTTCCTCATTCCCATCATCATTACTTTTGCCTATTACTCTTGTTATTACCCATTTTCTCCTTAGATCTCTTTAACTCCTTTGCCTAAAATTTCTCTGGGATTAATGTATTCTCCTAATGTTTATTGTTTTCTTGCCATAAGTGAAGTAATTTCCTGTGATCATCTGCACTGGATTCATGTTAATATTA